TGGCCGCCGTGGGGTCGCTAGTGGCAGCACCGTTCCAGGCGGTTAAGGATTCTGTAGATGTGGCGGACAAAACAGATTCTGCCGGAGCAGGCGTGTCCAGTTACCCAGGGAGTGCTGTCGTCCGGGCCATCACAAATCCCTTTAAGGGCGTGGCAAAAGTAGGGGAGGCGATGTGGGGTAAAGACGATAAATAATGGTACGAGTTAGCCATCTTAATTAAACATTAAAGTACTTAACACAAACAAATAATTAATGCATGGATTGATATATATTTTTTGACTGATTTTGATTTTGAATGACATAAATAATAAATCCCTGAAATATAAAGAAATCGTTGGTTTTTCTTAGTACTTATATGAGACTTTGTTTTGCTTCCTATATAATTCCATACAAAATTTTGCACAGATTTTTAATCTTATGACAAAATGAATCTTATAGAATTTTCCCACTAGGTAAACATTACTCTGGTTACCAATTTAAATGTAAATCTATGAGAAACATTGCTGATTTCTGATAAAAAGTGTGTTTGTGTGATTTATCCTTAAGAGGGAAACATACCTCACCTGAGCTGAAAGCTCAAGTTAACCTTTCTGATCACATGGTGTCCCAAATCTGTCTAGCTGATCTTAATTCCATTTGCAAACTTTTCGAATTTTCAACTTTTTTTTACAACTACTGGAACAATGCTAATTAAATACTGCACAAAAGATCCCTAGTTAAAGGGGGTTCTAAAATGAAGGACACGGCTCCCTTTCAAGGAGAGATAATCTTGAAGAGGTAAAACTAGTGTTGGTCAAAAAATTAGCTGAAACTTATATGCGGAATTTCCTAAGGTATAGTGAAGCTTCTTAATTGTTCAAATATGGGCCCTAAGTTGTAGGGTTATACATGTACCACAATCACAGGTGCTTGAGGACAAAGACCCCCTTTTGAAATAGATCCCTGGGCCTTTTCGACTCTTTTCTCTCATGAGTTATTTTTCAGTGACAGATTTTTGATAAAATCTATGCCAAAACTTAAAAACATTACCTAAAACAAACGTTTTATAAAAATCATCCATATATAATTTATGTGAAAAAAAGTATAAAAGGCCCCCGACGGTCTATCGAAGAGGGGGGGGGGGTCTTGTCCTTAAGCACCTGTGACCACAATAGGGAACATAGGTTTAACATTGAAATTTGTGGTAGAAATATACTAGTACTGAGTATATTTAAAAAGTCCTCAAGAACTACGGGACTACGGGACCAGAAAAGCTGAAACTGATGTGTAATGTTGATTCTGAATTGTTCATATCACCCCTCCAAGAGTCTGGTGGGCCATATTAGTACTTCATCAGGAAAGATCTTTGAAACTCATCAATGGCAAATCCATGATAAATCAATGAATGTGGAAGCTGGTATTGTAGACTGAACCATTCTTGTTGAAATAAGGGTCCCTGTATATAATATTATAGAACCATTCTTGTTGAAATCAAGGTCCCTGTATATAGGATGGGTCCACAAAATGCGATTAAAATACAGATGAATACAAAATTTTCGGGGGGGGATCTGACGACTAGGGTTTACATAAGTGACTTTGGTGAGCTTTGAGTCCTATATGTGTTTAATTACTTCCTTAAGGTTACAAAGTATTCCTTACAATTCTAGAAATCTGGGTAGAATTAATATTTTAAATACACTCTTATTCATAGATGTATATTTTTTTTTCTTGTTGAATGAGTTTCATTTGATTTACTTGTCGGAATTTTTAATAAATAATGTTGGTAGATGTAATGAATTCTTCAGGATGAACTTGTTTTAGATCTGTTTCGTAAACTTGTAGAAATATCTGATTTCACGATGTAATCAGATTAATTAATATTATGCAGAAAATACAACCAATTGATTATTGTTAACGCCTCAAAGTATGACCAAAAGCTGAGTGTTAAAATTCATGACATGTACGCATAATTTAATTTAAAATCGAATCAATTTTTTTTTCTTACAGAATAGAAGATAAAAACAGTACTTGTGATGGCATTTTAGAAAAGCATAAGTAGTCCCCTTATTGTGAATACTTAAAATAAACAATATGCTTAAATAATTATGATATCTTCTCTTGCATTCTATATATATATGAAATATGATTTTTTTAAATAAATAATTAAGCCTTTTCTGTCGTTGATGATTCATTTACATTACTCAAATTTACACGAATTCCCATTTAGGCCTATCAAAAAAATATTTTTAATTCGATATAAGAAATTGTTGAATTTGTTATAACGAATTTAATTTGTTATAGCAATTTATTCGAATTTGTGAAATGAAATCGAATATTATTATGAATTTAGTCTTTTAACAGTCATATAACAGATTAAAATCGTAATAACATATTGAAAGAATTTTTTACGAATTAAAATTCGTTATTACAAATTCGATAATTCTTATCTACGCCTACAGTTAAATATACACATATACATATCTCGATTCGATAAACGATTTGTCGAATTCGTTAACGAATTCAATTCTTTAAAACAAAATAAAGAGTTCGTTTTAATGAATTTAATTCTTAATATTTACATTTCCAATGTCTTTGTCCGAGATAAAATCACAAACTGTTAATGTACTTAATTTCCTCATCAATGCACTGGTTCATCGATAGGCGCGGTTTAAAAAAAATCACATGCAGGGCGGGACAAATAGAAAGACAGATGCGTGGCTTGTAGCACGTGGATTGGCGGAATCAAGAGCATGTAAATATAAGGAATAACTGTCAGATTTTTTGATGATCAATCGATTGGCTTGCGTGATAATTTTATGCATTTATGCAAATTATCACGATTTCATGATTGATCACATCATGAAATCGAAAAATAAGACAGTTATATCATGTTGTAAATTTTGAATTTACTAGGGGGAGGTAAATGCAAAATTTACAACATGATAACATCATGTTGTAAATTTTGCATTTACCTCCCCCTAGTAAATTCAAAATTTACAACATAATAGTTACATGTATTCCTTAAATAAGAAGTTTCTGAATTCGTTATAACATAAATTCGTTATGATAAATTTTTGAATTCACAATAACGAAATTAACAAATTTTGTTATTATATCAGATTAAATTCGATGTAACTAATTCGACAATTCGTTATATGGAATTTAGATATTATTTTTGATAGGTCCTACATGTAAATGGCTACCGTTCTTGTTTGTTTATTTTTTTATGTTTTTCTTTTCTATTCGATTCAATTCATTTTTCAGAAGTTAACCTGACCTTATAAACATTTCATTGTATATTTCCTTTCTTCTCTTTTTGTAAAGGATGATTGCACTTAACGCTGTGTTTGGGTCTTTTTCGATCGCTTCTGTTGCTTTTTTAAATGTTAACTTCATTTCACTTTTATATATTTACTACAGAAGTATGTCCATTTAACATCTAATTAAAATGTTGCAAATAATATTAGACTGTAATACAATAATTAATTTCATGTTTTTTTGTCCTTTCTGTTTTCCGAATACAAAGAATTAACACTTATCTGCCCATGCTTAAACATTATGTATGTATAAGAGGAGGAGCTAACATCGTAAGAATGGATCTAAAATTAGACTGGATGAATAACAATGACGTTTGATCTCTATTTTCCATTTTGCTGTTTATTCTGTAGTACATGTACATGTACCTAATTTACAATTAAAAGGTTTAAAACGTATGAGCCCATTTATGTAAGTAAAGAATATTTTAAATGGCTGACTATTCAACGTGTTCGAGCACAGTGTCCTAGTTATCACAAAACATGCTATCAATAAGTCACGTGACGGAATTTAGTATTCACAAAACTACCTGAGGAAAGATATCACGTGGTAAATTATAATATTTAACGTGTCAAAGCCCTTGGTTACATTAGAACATAACCTACTTATTCAGCCAATCAAATGCTTCCATTTCTCGCGAAGAATTGATTCTTCATGGTGAAGAATTCTCCTATTTCTGAAAAATTCAACGGTGTCTGATTGGTTCACTTGACAGTTATATGGGTGTGTCTTCATTGGTCTTTGTTCAGCACACAAAAAAGAAAATATTCATAACCCACGTGCTGTTTACAATGATATTTAAACTTTCTAGGCCTTGCTACACTTTTTTCCCATTGTAATCTTTTGTCGCCTTTTTAAATACATGACTTTTTCACATTTCAGTACATACAGAAAATACAACCATCGTCATGTATATCAGAGACGAACCTTGTCTTTGAAGGCAGATTTAATCACAATTTTCATCAAATTTTTATTTGATATTAGACAGCCATACCATTTCCTGCTGACTAGGGCCTTGTCATTTAACACAATCATTTTTCAAAATTATAGATATTACGATTCTTGTTACATGGGTATTCATTAGTTCAGTAACTTTAATATCTTCACCATAGCATTTCCCCAGTAAATCAAGCTATTTCATATAATCCCGTGCTAACCTAAATGGGTTTGGAGTCCATTCTGAAACCGCGTGTGTTCGATATTGATTGCATGCTCGATATGTTCAACGAGCTGTCAAGTTGAGCCTTATATATGACACAGCCGTGGGAGGAGTTTATTTTTAAATATTTCCATTTCTTATTTTTGTCTCTGTGATAACTCTTTGAAACTTAGCGGCGTTAATTTCTTGATAAACCTGCTGGAATGTAAATTAGGCTGGTCAAAAGGTCAGGAGCTAGGGATGCCTAACATGCATGCAAATTTCGTGCGCATCTGTCTCTGTGACTGACGCAAAGGATGCCAAATATGCATGAAAATCTCGTGCGGCTGCCTTTGTGGTTGATGTTAGTGGGAGAGGGCTATGGAAATTGGCATGGAAGTCCTCGTGTAATTTAAATCTATCAGTCTATATTTTTAATGTCTAAGTCTACAATTTCATTTCACAATGAAATGGAAATATAAGGAATCACTGTCTAGTTATGAGAGTATGCCAGGGACATCAACAATAGTGGGAAACATGGGATAATTTTAGCATAACGGGCTTCGCCCGTTATGCAAATTATCCCATATTTCCCACTATTGTTGATGCCCTGGCATACTCTCGAAACTAGACAGTGATTCCTTAATCCATTCATTTGATTGGCTAAGGTTCTGTTCTAAGTCAGTAAGATCATATGAAGAGAAATCTTCGTCACGAAGAATGGGCTCCGCTTCGCTCCGCCCATTCTTCATGACGAAGATTTCTCTTCATATGATCTTATCCTATTACATACAGCTACTGTTAAAAGGAGAACAATAGACAAACATGCGCTGACTATGTATAAAGTCAGTAAAGAAAGTGGACGTCCTCATTATCGTACGAAGATAGAAGAAATGGTGTTGACTCCAACCTCAGAAAACAGATTCGTACATTGTAAATGATTATTTATTGTAATTAAGTAAAGTTGTATATTAGATGTTGATCATTTCTGCAATTGAAAGAAAAATGTCTGTTTTGAAAGTTTATTTTGACGTAAATTTCGCATATCCTTAAATGCAGTCATCCTTTGCTAAAAGATGTATTACCTCCGAACTGTAACCCCTGCAAATAAATCGTTTCTTGTATATCATCTATATCATGTTCAAATTTCATGTATTTCTTTTTTAGGGTACATTAAACCTTATTCGTCAGCCAGTCTGTACATCTGTCACGAGCACTTTACTTTAAACTTGATAATAATTATTGAATGAGTTGAAATAGGACTTTCATATTTCACATGTGCATTATTTGTGACATGTGATGTTCAAATATACTGTGATTTTTGACCCTGTGACCTTGATCTTCGAGCTTGACCTACTTAAAAAATAACATTACTTTAAATTAAGGCTTCCATTTTATAAATATGAATTACATGTACCTGTGACAACGCCTTTCAATATTCACTATGATTTTTTACCCTTTGACCTTGAACTTTGACCTGCTTTTCAAAAAAATTAACAATAGTCATATCTTTTGAATGAGAGGAATTAGGGCTTTTTTTTATCCCTGAGTATTACCTGAGACAACATTTTTCTGAATACACGGACTTTTGACAACGTGATCTTGAGGCTTGGTTTACTTTTCACAATTTTAACCTTGATCATAACTTTTGAATGAGAAGTTATAGGACTTTTATATTACACAAATATCACATGACTGTACGTACTAGTATATAATGAACTTTGACCTTGAAGTGTAACCGGCTTTTCCAAAATTTAAACATAACATAAAAATTTGACCATAACTTTTGATAGAGAAAGGGTAGGCTTTCATACCTGGTTTTACACATGTATATTAGCTGTGACAAGGCCTATCGAAAAAAAGGTATAGCTTAAATCATGCAGAGTGTGTAATGGCCCGGAATCAAGGTCATCTAGGATAAGATGTTCTGGCCGGATACATTGTTTGAAAGAACATGTGTGAATTTGTCAATACGGTAGCACACAGATGGGATATGCTCATCACAAGTGTGTGTCCTGGTGTGAAGCAAAGTCATTTTGACAAGGTCAAGGTCGCAAACATTCCTTTGCTATTCATTTTTTAAATAGTAAAACATAACAAGATGATATCTACCCTTAAAAGATTGCTTTAACATTAGAACGTGGTATGACCTTGAATCACCTCTCTGTCCGCAGCTCCGACGGAAGACCGAGATCGGCATTTTTTTTTTTTTTTTTTTTTTTTTTGCTTGACAAGAAATTTCTAAGATTGGATTTTTTTTTGGTTTGGACTGGAATGGACCCCCCCACCCCCCCGGAAAAAAATATCTGGATCCGCGCCTGACACGGCACGTACTTTGTGCATGCCCAAAGTGATCGCCGTCCTCTGGCGTTCTAGGAGACCCTACGCGGCCCTACGGCGTTCAGTGGAAATCTCGCCGCGTTGTCACGGCGCTGTAGGAGACTCTACTGCGATCACCTCGGGGTTTTGCATTTTTTTTTTTTTTTTTTTTTTTTGAGAACTTATAGCTTTTTATAGCTTGGTTGTTAGATTACCATTAAAGTCTTTTTCAAGTTTAATTTCGAAATTCATGTCCCGAGTATAATACGTAAGTCCTCGGGGTGGTCTAAGCTAGTCATGTATTAAAAGGCGTGATTTGAAAAGGCGTAATAATATCTTTTTCTGCGATATTACGCCTTTTTTTAGCTCACCTGAGCTGAAAGCTCAAGTGAACTTTTCT